TGTCGCGTTTCGGGGGGAAAGGGTGGGAGGGAGGTAGAGAGATAAAAGAAAGAAAATAATCGAAACGAAAGAAGGAAAAGAAGGGAAAGAAGGGAAAGAAGGGAAAGAAGAGAAAGAAGAGAAAGGAGGGAAAGAAGGAAACGCGCGATAGGCGCGATAGGTTCGGGTATGTAAAACGCGGGGCAAGACAGTGGATGTTTTTCGATGGTCTGTGCACGGATTCAAAGAATATCCCAAGTTTGGCGGCGAACGAGGGTCATCGCCGCTACGAGGAGGTTATCGATGAATCGAAGAAAGGTGGGGAGATTTTTGTACGTCGTCGTGATCGTTCCGCGGAAACGTGGAAGTAAAGCTCAGTAAAGCGTGGAAAACGCGTCGAAAATCAACGGAACGCAGCGTCTCGCGTCGGAAAGAAAGGTCGGTGGTGCTGGTTGCTCTAGTTGTTGGGGTTCGTCGTTCAACGAGGGAAAGGGTGCGCGACTTTGAAATTGGACGCGGTAGGAAAGACTAGACGGAATCGAGAGCGGGACGCTGGCTTGGCTCGAAAGCGCGAGCGCGCCAACTTCGAATCGAGGAGAAACGATCGAAAGAACGCGACGAAGTTGGCACCATGGGTGAGAAGAGTATAGCGTGGGCGATTCGAAGAAGCTTGAACGGAGGATCGCGAAAACGGCGAGCTAGATTGGTATACGGATTCGCCGCGTTGATCAGCCTCGCGACGTTCGTTCTGCTTTGGTGCACGAGCGTGTTTCGCGACGCGATTCTCTCGAATCTCGAGCTACGGAACGGTACGCCGACGTTTCTGATGTGGCAACGGCCGCCGGTCGGCCTTCGGGTCAACGTTTACGTTTTCAATTATACGAACGTGCACGAGTTCGAGAGCGGAAACGCGAGCAAGCTGAAGGTGCAAGAGGTTGGCCCGTTCGTCTATCGAGAGAAATTCAGCCGAGCGAACGTCCGCCTCGACGAGAATCGAACGGTCACGTATCAGGAGGAGAGGAGCTTCCAATGGATCGCCGGGAAATCGGAAAGTCAAAAGGTGATCGTACCGAACGTGTTGCTCATGTCGACGCTCGCGTATTCCCGAGATCTCAACTACCTGCTGCAAATCGGCTTCACGATGCTTCTGGCTGGCTTGAAGCTACGCGCCAAACCGTTTCTCGAACTGCCGGTCGGCGAATTCTTCTGGGGCTACGAGGACGAACTGTTCGAAATGGGCAAACGGTTTCTACCGTCGCGAAAGTTCCTACCCCACGATAAATTTGGAATCCTGGCATTCGTACGTATATATATTTGCGTTTACGCGGCACAACCGCTGTTCGATACGCTGCTGTTTGTCGTCTATGCGTGTGTATCCGCGGCGTGTTGCAGAGAAACGGCTTGAACGCGGATCGCATCACGATGCACACGGGAATCGACGATCTTCGGAATCTCGGGCTGATCCAGCGAATCAACGGACGCGAAAGTCGTCGAGTGTGGGAAGACGAGAAATGCGACCGAATCTACGGTACCGACGGCAGCATGTTTCCACCGGACTGGATCGAGCAGCCGAACGCCACGCTTTACGTCTACGCGAAAGAGTTTTGCAGGCAATTGCCGTTTCGTTACGAGCGTCGCAGCTTCTCCAACGGTATTCCCACTTTAAGGTGAGTTCTTATCCCTCGTCTCCGCGTTTGCACGCGGCCCCCTGTTCCATCCGCTTGCTTCCTGGTCGAACGAAAAACCCTCGCTTACCAGCGATCCGAAAGCAAAGGTGTCGTCGCTCTAAACGCTTCATCGGTCGAATAATCGTCATAGGTACAAATTACCGAGCAACGTTTTTACGTCGAGCCGCAGCAAAGACTCGTGCTTTTGCCCGAAGGAATCGTACGATTCGATCACCAGAATATGCCCACCGGCTGGAACGTTGAACGTTTCCGCTTGCAACTCCGGATCACCGTTGATCGTCTCCTTTCCCCATTTCTACTCGGGCGACGAGTCCTTGTTCCAGAAGATCGAAGGACTGACGCCACGAGAGGAACATCACGGTAGCTACGTGGATCTGCATTCGGTAGGTATTTCGATCTGCGACGCCACGCGCGTCCTTACCGAACGTCTACGTGGAAACTCGTTTTCCGGCTCACGCGATCGTATTCGTTTCAGCGTTTGGGCGTTACAGTGGCTACCAGAATGAGATTTCAGCTGAATCTAGAAGTACGAAAAGCGGTTGGCATGCCGTTCTCGGGAAATCTCGAAGACGGCTCGATCCTGCCCTTGATCTGGATCGACACCAGAATGGACGATCTGCCGGAATCGATTCGCCAGATCTTTTATCGCAGTCACTACCTGGTGAACGCCATCGAGGCCGGACTTCAGTGGTGCAGCCTGGTCGGTGTCGTCATCTCGTTCGGTGCTTTTCTCGCCGCTTTGAAGAGAGAAGACGAATCGAACGGCGCGAAACCGGTCGTCGATCGAACCGAACTCGATCGGCTTTGACAGTTTGGCTACCTACCTTGTCCGCGTTCGGCTGATATATACCACCGATCCCTTGTCTTGGCGCCAACCTTCGGCTCCGACTAATTCGCGTCAGTTCAAATAAAGATCCCGCGATCGCGCGATCCCCCGA